TATATCATAAATTTTAAGTCTTTTAATTAAAATATTTTAGAGATGTAAATATCATAATTGTAATATGATTCTTAATTTAATTTTAGTACAAAATCTACAATAGATAAGTCATTTAATGGTTTAGAAGCAATAAAATGTGTAAATTCAAAAAAATGCAATGAATAATGTCCTGGATATTAAGCCATATTTATGGATTTAGAAATGCCAGTTATGAATGGAATGATAGCTTCAGAATAAATACTGAAGATTAAACCAAACATTAAAATATTTATTGTTTCTGGATATGATGATAATAAATTGAAATAAGAAGGTGAAAAATTAGGAATTAAATGTTTTATAATTAAACCAATTTTAAAAGATAAAGTGTAAAAACTTATTTAAGAATATCATTTATGATTATTTATTTTTATGTTATAGATTTATAATACTTGATTTTATATATTAAAAGACTTAAAATTTATGATATAATTAAATATCTAATAGTTTTTATAATATATAAATAATAATCATTTAGTAATAATAAATTAAAATTAATCTTCTTTATTTGATTCATTACGTTGTTAATCTAAAGAAAATGAACTTATTGGACTAAGTTCTTCCATAATAGATCTTTGTTTTGGTAATTCTGGAGTGCTAGCCTTAGGAGCATATATGGGAGTACGAGTAACAATTGATAAATTCTTTCTATCCTTATTCATTAATTTTTAATCAGGACTATTGTATGTATCTAAATAATGATCAAAAGAATCTTTAGTTGGACTCTCTTAACTAATTTTTTAAATAATAAAATCTTACATTTTTAATTTTAATTATGTAGCCATTTCATTTAAAAAAAATGTATGATTAAGACATTATGTTGCTGTGTATCTTTGATCAGCATCTTAGGCTATCATCTTAAATCTAATAATAGTATTTAATACTATACAATAAGTCTCTGGCATCTGAATCTAATTATTAATATTTATTTCTTCCAAAATCAACTTAGAATTATTTGTTCATACTCAAAATCTCTTAATGTCCATTTCCAATAAATAAACCTTCTCCCAATAACAAAATATGGAAAATAACTCCAGCCGAGAATATATCACATGCTGTTGTATAGGATTAAGTTTTGTCTATCATATTTACAATTTCTGGGGCTACAAATCCTGGAGTTCCACATTTAGGATATAGATATGGATATGAATCAACTTTAACAGATAAACCAAAATCAGCAATCGTTAAAGTGTTTAGATTCCCCTTTTCTTTGAAAAGAATATTTTCTGGTTTTAGATCTCTATGCATAATTCCTTTAGAATGAATATATTTTAATCCTGATAATATCTAATACATAATCTTTTTATTTAAATTATAATATTTACTTTCTAGACTTCTTATCTACTATATAAGGTCAACTTATTTTTCATTTCCTTATATAAACTACCTCCCTAAGCCAAATCCATTATCAAATATATATTATTATCTCCTTCATAGACCTCAATCAAATTAATGAGTTACTCATGGGGACTTAAAATTCTCATTATTTAAATTTCATTCATTACAGATTCCTATAAAATATAAATAGATTAATTACCATTCCTTATTCAATTGCCTATAATTTTTTTTTATCTATACATTTTGAAGCAAACTTTTGATTTGAATGTAAATGTTATAATTCAAGAACCTAATATTAAATGAGTTAAATTTATACTAAAGCATAATTTCCTTATCCAATTACTTGAATAGCCACATATTCCTCTTGAACTTTAGCCTAAAAGAATAACTTAGAAATATGTCTTTTTAATTCACGAAGTACATCATCTTCTCCAAAGTATTCTTATTGTTAATTACCATTGTCTAATGTGATTCCCTTCAATTTGATTGGTTGTTCTGTTGTGTATTTCCAAATAATTCTGTTAGTATTTTCTATATTAAAAACACGATCTGTTCTTTTACGATTAGACTCCTATTAAATCAATTTACTCACTATTTTACCTTATTTACAACAACTTTATCCAAAAAGATATAAAAATATCTTGCAGAAGTTCCCAAAAACTTTTTTTTGAAGAGACGACATTAAAATAATTCATCACAAGATTTAGGAAACATTATAATTAATTATTATATCTTAGCTATTTGCAGCCAACAATTAAACCATCTCTTACTATAAAATTGAAGGTTCTTTCATTGTTCATTACCTTATGATTAATTACTTTATTAAATATATTCATTCATTACAGATCAAATGATTCTCTAAAAAACAAAATAGAACAACTAAGTCTATTTTAAATATTCAATTAAAAATTATATAAATTAACAATATATATAAAAAAAGAAAAGAATCTATCAAGATACTCATTTTTCTCTATAAAATTAGTAATTAATTTTTAATTCTAATGTTTGTACTAATTATATTTTGAATATTTGATTACTTCAATTAAATTCAGTATTCTTTTCTACTTATTAGTTCAAGTATGACTAAAATTATGATCATATATATATAATAAGAAGTTTAAGTCTTAATCAAATTATCTAGGAGAGATAATCATTAAATAAAATGAATAATTACAATTAAATAATATAAGTTATTTATCAAATTTATTAATAATAGGTATAACTTTAATATTTAAAGTCTACAACTAATATTAATATTAAAGATGATAAAGCATAATCATTATAATTAAATTATAGGAGATATAAATCAATAATGTTGGAGTATATCATTATAATAGATTAGATATTTTTTAATCATAAAGATATACTTAAAATTATATTGATAAGCTGTAAAGAAAAGTTTATTTAATTAATATTTATTTAATTAATGTCTGACTTATACGAACAAGCAGAATTTTTAAATGGAGGAAAAGTGGCTCACTAGTAAGATACTAGGTTTTAGGATCAAGATTAATTACCTCATGAAACTGAGAAAACCTTAAAATAATTAGATTAAGAACTTGCTGTTGATGAAGAGTACAAAGAGGCATTTGAAATAGCAAGAAGATTATTGAAATTCTATAAAAGTGAAAATTCAATTAGAAATGGGTAATATTTTGCTGGTGCAGGTAATTAATTTATAATAATTTTAAAGCATTATATTTTGGGTTCAGATGCAAAAATGCCCCATACTTACTTATAGAGATTTCAGAATTGATAAAGAAAGAGTCTGCAACAAAAGTAGCAAAATGTTATTTAAAACTATTAAAATTTGTAAAATTAGATGCTAAAGTCCCTTAAATTGTTCAATTAGCAAAAAGTTTATAATATTTAGATCCTTCTATTTATATACCTAAATTTGTAAGATTATTAGAAATAGGGTATTTCAATCAATATAATTCTTAGCCGAGATAAACATAAACAAATTGTTGATACAGCTATGAAATTAATTAAAAGAATGATGTTAGATTGGATGGCTTATGGAAGAAGACCTTCATCATTATGTGGTGCTGCATTGTTAATATCTGCTAGATTTCATGGAGAAAATGTATCAACTTCTTAAGTTTGTAAAACAGTTTAAGTTTGTGATGAAACTATTAGAAAAAGATTAGCTGAATTTAATTAAACAGGATTATCTTAATTGACAAGAGAATAATTTGAATAAATTGAGAATATTGAAACTGGAATCCCAGGACCAGTGAATGATCCTCCATCATATAGAAGGATCAAACAATAAGAAGAAGAAATGAGAAAAGGATTAACAGAAGATGAGATTAAATAATTGGAAGAAAGCACATTAAAAAAAGCATTAGAAATGATAGAATTACTAAAGGTTTAACCTGAAGTATATAAATTAGAAAATAATTAAAAATAAGAAGATCCTACTTCATTTTCTGAAGCAGTTAATGAATAAAAAGATTGTGAAGTATTATCTTCTTTAAGTGAATCAGATGAGTAAGAATATATCCTTAGTGAATAAGAAAAAGCATGTAAACAATTAGTATGGTAAGCAATGTACAAAGAATATATCTATGATAAACTTAACAATAGTAAGAAGTAAGCATAATAATAAAAAAATCTATAAAATGGAAATAAATAATAAAACTAAAAATCTAAAAAAAAAGTCAATATTAAATAATCATTTGCGACACCACAAGAATCAGTTACAGATAATTATAAAAATGATGGAATTAATCCATAAGCTGTACAAAATCTATTTTCAAAAGAAGCTGCTTTTTTTTCATAGTTTAGTAGATGATAATGAAATTGAATATATATAAAACCTTAATTTCTATGTATTTTTATTTAAGAGTATAAATGCAATTTATCATTTTATGCCTCTCTTTACTTAATGAATTTTAAGTATCTAATCTTAAATTATGATGATATTGTTTTATCAAATAATCTAATTTTAAGTTTTTAGATAAAATATTAAATAATAAATTATTTCTACTCTTCATATTAATATAAATCTCCATCAAATATTTAAAAAAAGAATAAAAAGTAATTGTTTTATCTATTTTCGATGATAGCTTCAGTTAAGATATGATCTAATGTATAATAAATAAATTCGATGTATATTTCTTAAAAATATAATTTTTTAAGGATATCTTAGGCATTCAATATCGTCTTAATAATTAAATTAAAATAGATTATATCCTAAGTTCAATCCTTTGAAAATTTTATTCCATATTTTAAAAAATGTTATCTATTAGTTTCCTTATAAATTTGATTGTTGACATAATATATATTTAAGATATTTTTGAAAATAAAATTCCTGAATATTTTAACATTTTGTTTTAAAAATACAAATCAAAATTTAAGATAACATTAACTAGATCAATATATTTTTATTATATTTTATTTAGGTGATTAGGAAGAGTATAAAATTTTGGAATAGGAAAATACCAAAAATTACAACATAATTATTTATATGTTAAATTTATAATTCACAACATTATTTAGATTTCAATTTATGAAAAGTTCTGGATTTCTCATGTGATAATAAGGTTTTGTAATTTTCATAGAACCATGAAGCATCACAAAAATGTAAAGTGGTCTTAAAAAATATCTGATAAAATAAAATAATTAATAAAAAAAACTGGACCAATTCGATTAAATTATTTCAGAAACATTTGCATTTGATTTCGTATTAGTTATGAATATAGCCACTCTTTCAATTACAACAATAATAAGCATAGCCCCACTAATTAAAAAAACATACATGAAATCTCTAAATATAGAAAAGCTTGAATACTTAATTAAGAGTTTAATCATTCCCAACTTTAGTGGCTATGTCTACCACATCAAAGTGCAGAATAATACAAAAATTATACCTGTTATAATTATGTGGACGGAACTCATCCATAAAATTTAGGTTTATCCTTCCTTATTATCTTAAGATATTTGATTCATTGTCGTTGGCTCTATGAAGGATGACCAAATTAAATCAAATATTAAAAACACATAGAAAATGCCTAATTTGATATAAAGAGTTCTCAATTCGGATTGTAAACTAAATTAGAAAATGTTGTTACTCTCTCATTTTTATATAATTGAAATAAAATATATTGATATTTTGGTAATGCCTTAAATAAATTCTAAAATAAAAAGTCCAATCATCAATTGAATCTCACCCAAAATCCTAGAATAGTCAAAAGTTTAATTAATTGCTACTATCTTATATTTTATAGTTTTGCCTTGAATTTATAAATAATGATAATTATATCTAACAACTATTTTTTCTTTTTCAATCAAATAATGGATCTAAATATAATCTAAAATGATTTAATCAGATTATTATATTTATGGATAGAAGTAATCAATAATTGATTTTAAATGAAGATTACTACTTATTTTGTTTATTCTATTTATAAAAAAAAATTTTAGAGCTTAAAATTTTATTTGATATACAAAAAACAAGTATATCTACATCACGATATAATTCAGATAGTATTTTTGTCAAATCTAAATTATAATAGTACTATAATAGAAAATTAAATATAGATTAAGTGCTAAATATTTATATTTTTTCTAATATTTATTTAGATTATTATATAGTAATTTTATCACAAAAAAATTACAAAAGATTAAAAAAAATAGGAAAACTATTTTTAAACAAAATGATAAATTAATATATGATGACTTTTGATAATTAAATTTTTTCTATTCAATAAAAGGATTATTTATTTAAGTTTCACTTATAAATTGATATTTTTGAGATAATTTAATTTAATAATTATTAAAAAGATTAGAGATAATCATATTTGTTATATGAAAAATAATATAAAGAATTTATTAATGTATATTATTATTTTAAGAATAAGTAAAACGATATTAATTATATAAAATAGGAATAGATAGATATATTGGATTCAAATAATATTTGATCTTTAGTAAAAATGAAAATTTATTTAATAGTTATTTCACAATTTGACTGGATTAAATTATAAAGATTCTTCATAAACCATTTTTTATAAAGTTTCTCTTTTTAATTCAAAATTATCCCAACTCCAATCAAATACTTTATCACATCTAGGTTCAGCTTCTGGATTATGTAATCCATCAAAATAATCATGTTCCAAACATTATTCAACAGTGTATCTTTTATCTGGATTAAATGTAATCATCTTAGTTAATAATTCACAAACTTTTGGATTAGCTTTAGGATATAGTTAAGTAAATGACTATTTTGTTCGTTTAGGTAAACTTTTTATATAGTTTATAGCATTTGGATTTCCAATATATTTCATATCATCAGGAGTAGGTGTTCCTAAAACTGAAATAATTCTTTATACTTAATCTAAATAGTCCTCACCTTTATTAATTAATTTAATAATTACCTGGAAACAATGGAGTACGACCTAAAAGTTCTGCTATAATACAGCCTGCTGCATAAATGTCAACTGCTTTTGTATATTCAGATGCATTTAAAATAACTTCTGGTGCTCTATACCATCTTGTTATCACATATTCAGTTTTAAATTCCTCCTCAGTTTCATAACCTCTGGCTAATCCTAAATCACAAATTTTCAAGTCACAATCTTTATTCAAAAGGATATTGCTAGGTTTTAAATCTCTATGTATAACATTTGCTGTATGTATATAAAGTAACCCTCTTAACATTTGATATGCAAAATATTAAATATGTTCATCTGTCAAAGCTTATGATGAATAAATGACTTTATGCAAATCTGTGCCCATTAAGTCTGTTATTATATAAATATCATTGAATCCTGTTTTTGACTCTGGTCTAGGTAAATCAACTAATGAAATAATGTTCTCATGATCAAAAAACTCTAAAAATAGCAAATTTGAATTACTAAGCAATTTAATCTCCCTCACTATTCTTTTAGCATCCACTAAATCTTCAAATGCATTTGGAATCTTAACTAATTATATAATATACTTTCTTAACTGCAACCATCTATCCATTCTTTTTATTTTTAGCAGAGCATACTACACCATAAGCTCCTTATCCTATTTACTTAATGAATTCATATTTCTCATCCACCACAAATGTCTGACCTAAATATTAAGAAAATACTTTAACCGCCACATTCAAAAGCATGTTTGCCTTTTGCAACAGGAATTTTTGATTTGATAGGATGTTTATCATTTTATCTCATTTTTATTTATAATATATATCAAGTAATTTCAATGCTTAATTATAAAAATGAAAGAAATCTAAAAAATTAGATTAAATAATTAACTATTAATCATTTGAATATAATAATATATTATTTATAATTTTTTATATATTTGATTTAATTTAATGAGATTTTACTCAACTTTTTAAAATACTAATTACTGCATATTATATAATTTAAAATAAATTCTTAAATTAGATTTAATATTGAACTCTCATTTAAATAAATACTATTATTCTGTTATTTTTTAATTCATTCTCTTAATTTATTTTTATAAGTAAATATAATTCTATAAACTAATATTATCATTTGGAATTGTATATTCTTGTTAACCAGCTCAAACCTTCTTAAAGTCCTTCTCCAGTTTTAGCACAACAAGGTTATATATAACATTATCTATTTTGATATGGAAGATCCAAAAATTGTTTTAACTCATCAACAGTAAATTTAGCTATATCTTACTTATTAGCTAAAACTAATAATGGTGCCCCTTTTGTTTCATTCTCATTAAGAAATCTCATTAACTCCTATTTTGCTTCTGGTAATCTATTTGGATCAGATGAATCTATTATAAAAATTATTCCTGTGCCTTCTTCTATATATTATTTCCATAATAATCTTATTTTATATCCACCTCCTATATCGAAACAAGTAAATTATATATTTTAAAAATTAATTTTTTCAACATTAAATCCAATAGTTGGGATAGGGGCTTTAAATTCTTAATTCAAATTTAATCTATAAAGTATAGTTGTTTTTCCTACTGCATCTAATCCGATCATTATTAATCTAATCTATTTTTTATTGAACAAAGATGAATATAATTTTGTAAAGAGTGATCCCATGGTATTTAATATACTTATTTATCTAATTATTAAGAGATTTAAATTTTATTAATTTTCCCATAAGGATTTACCGGGATATTAAAGTTTTTTCTTTCACATTAATAAATTAAATGACGAATTAAGGATTTATTGGGCATAAAATGATATTTAAGCATAATTGATTATTATTATCAAAAACATAAATAATAATAAAATTTTATGTTTTCGAAGCCCTCAAATATATTTGGATATGACTCTTACTTCAATTCCCCTGTTGGGTCTTACTGTAATTCCCCTATTAGAAGTTTGGATGAAGAGATATGGATGCAAGAATCTAACTAATAACCAATCTATCCTGAAAAGGTATATATTTTATTTTAAATAATTTAGAAAAAAATAATAGATCAAAAGTCTGAAGAAAATTTTGAAGTATACTCTGGCACTACGAAAATAAAAAACCATTATAGCGAAAAAATGAAGCCCTTAATAAATAATACACAAGGAGAGATATCAACTTAATAGGAAAAAGAAAAAGAAATACCTCAAATAAAGAAACTAATATCAAAAAAGGAAGTGCATATGTTACCTGGTGAAAGCAAAAATATTCCTAAAAATTATACTAGAGCCCTAAAATAGTTTATAAGTATCTTATTTTTCTAATATTTAGTCTCCAACTTTGACTCTAGTGTATTACAAAATGCAGACATTAAGAAGTTCTTAGCTACTAAACCAGAAAAGGCTTGTAAACAAACCTTAGAAAATTCATTAAAAAATTGTTAATAACTCAAACAAATTTCTCAAATTTTCTTTGGCAATCTTCAATGGGGAAAAACATTTTTAGAAGAAAACAAAGTTGAACTTGAACCCTACTTCAGATTCAACTCAATCTGGTTCGGATCAAAGAATTGATATATTAAAAAACATTTGATCCTTAATACATATTTATATATATTTATAAATTCTTGAAGAATAATTATTGAAAGATCATAAATTTAATGGAAAGATTAGATTCATGATTGATATTATTGGACTTTTGTTAGTAGAATTAAATTTTAGATATATTTTTTTGATTTTTCTAAGATTGTACTTATAGGATTCATTTAAAAATACTAAAACCTATTTTATCCAACCTGATTCTATCTATTTTAGAGGTCTATATTATGTGATATATCTATTTCTATTAATATATAATTGAAAAATAATATTTTAACTTAAAAATTATGAAAAAGTCTATTTGATAAATTAAGAGACTTGCAAATAATTTTATTAAAATATAAAAAGGTCTAAAAGTAAATCATTGTAATTATTTGTCAAATCTAATTGTCTAAGATTTATAAGAATTTTTTTTATGAATATAATTATTTTTGAATAATAATTTTTAATTAACTAAAATAATTGAATGCTGAAAATATATAATGTATTTTATTTATAATTTAATTATTTATTATTAAATAGCACTGTTATATATTAATACATAAATATTTAAAAAAATCAAAAAATGCTTCCAAAATTTTTGAAATGATTTTCATATTTATGTCAATTCTATTTTTAGAAATTTTAATTGTTTTCATTAATATTACTGCTGGATATAATTTTAATTTCCTTTTAATACTAAAAATTTGAGAAAATAGAAAGCTTAAAATTATGATTTCAGAATAAAAATTCTTGTAAGAATTTACTTAATATTCTTGATTGATATTTAATTCTTATATTTAAAAAATTAATTCTGAAATATAATTTTTAGTATGTTTATATTTCTGAACAATTTTTTGATTGCAAAAATGACAATAATTATTTATACAAATATATTATTTACATAAATTATATGTTATCATTTATTACATTTGATTATATTTTATGAAATTGAATTATAAAGCTCTTATAAATTCACCTTTTTATTCAACTTTTTCTTACTTAATAAATATATAAACTTTGTAAAATACAACATTAAACTAATTATGTAAAAAAATTATAAAAATAATCCCTTAAATATCTAATAATTTAGAATAAATAAATTACTAAGATGTCTAACTCAAATAAAATTGATTCGATTGTTGCAAATGAATTCTAATGTAATTTCTTCGATAAATTAACTTATGAAGAATTGAAATCTGATCTTTAAAAATTCGTATGTTTTATCAAATATTTGTTGTAGATGCAGCTAATTCATAAATAGTACTAAAATAGAGATGACTTCTATGAAGCTTATCAGATTTATGTGATTGGAAGAGAAAAATTAGTGTGTATATAAGGTTTTGATAAAGTAAGAACATTCTTAAATATTCTTATAAGGAACAACTTACTGATTTAATCAATGATCTTGACACCAATGAATAAATGATCAAATTTTTTGATTTCTATAGGGACTGTAAGTATTTTGGTTAGTGAATGCGCTTTAGAACACTTTCCACCACGACCATAATAATTGAAGAATTTTTAAACACACACTGAGAGAGAAAAAAGAAAATAATAAGAATTACTAACTCCCTAAATTCTTAATAGTTAAACTAATATAGTATTTTCGGCCCAAGAAACTAATATTTTATAAATTGAAAATCAATAAATTCTTTCAGAGATTCAATTTGTTCCCTCTTGCCAAGAACTGTATAATATTGTATTAAATTATGATAATGACTCTAAATTGGATAAAGTATTGTTCTTACATATTCTAGGCATATTAAACTATATAATAAATAGATAGAAGTTAACTCTCTTAAGATTAGATAATCAAATTATCTGTAATAGAGAGTTCATATGAATTTATGATGAAAAATTTAATAGAACTGGATTCAAGTGGATGGACATTGGATAAAAAAAGTCATGGAATTAGTATTTCATATAAATTTCCACCTAAATCATCTACAGTCTCTTTGTTAATGGAAGCAGAAATAGATGCTGATTGTGCTAAGCTCATGTCATTGATTACAGAGGTGGAATTATTTTCAGAATATGTTCCTTTTTGTAATCATGCAACAACAATAAAAACAATATCAAAAACAAAGAAGGTTTGTCTGAGTTAATTATATTTTCCAGTTATTTCTAATAGAGAAACAATATTTTTAGGATAAGGTATAGATAGATTAGAAGAAAATGGAACTATTTTGTTCTTATGTAAATCAATCGATTAAGATCAATAGTTTCTAGATTACTATAATTTATAACTTAATAAATCAAAGAATGTAAGATTGCAATTAAATTATTACATCTTTTAAATAACTCCAATCAATAAAACAAGATGTAAAATTAAAGCTGTCAATAATTCTAATCCATAATTGTCTTTTGTACCAACATGGTTAGTAGCATTAATTGCAAGAAAAGTATTTTTATATATTTTTAATTAGTTCGCTTTTTAACTTATTGAGAAAATTGTGAAATACACTAAAAGTTTTGAGAAATATCCTTGGTATAAGAAAACATAAGAAAATCCAGAATTTTATTAATGGCTGTAGAATAAAATTGACAACTATTTTGCTTGATTATTTAATTCTAAATAAACATAATTTTAATATAAATGTGATTCTTATTGTTAATTATAGAATTTAACATGAATCATGCACCAGTCATTTCAGCATATGCTGTTAAATAGCATTTTGGATCACCCGAAGTAATTCCTTGTATTTAAGCTATCACTTGATTCATACCAAGTAATTCTCCTCTAAATTTAAATCAAATAAATATATTTAAAGGATTACCTAAATATATTCAATTCATTATCATTGCTAGTAACTTAATGAATAATCTCTGCCAATTATTGAAGCTTACTAGTAATCTTAATTTCTAATTGAAGATAAATTTCAATGAAGGGAATGTATACATTTATTCTTTTTATATCTGTTTGATCAGTCATAGTTATTTAATTAAATTATATATAAATATAATTAGTTTAAATGGTAAACAAAAGCATTAAATATCATAATAAAGAATGTAAAGTAGAAACCCTATTTCTAATAAATTTTATGCATTTAAGAAATTGAATGATTAAAACACTTCATCAATTCTAAAAAGCATATAGGAAGAAGAGGATTTGGCAAAGTGATTTTAATTTAACATAAATAGAATAGTAATTACAATTTGAATATATTAATAGATTAATTATTATATGCTATGAAGATAATTAACATGATAAATCTGAATGGATAAAGTAATTATTTGAAATTTTGGACAAGTCCTTTCTTTGTTAAATTACATAAAACTTTTCAAACTTGATAGAAACTTTTGTCGGGGAATATATAAGTAAAGGTGAACTATTATATTATTTGAAACAAAATGAAAAATTTTCACAGGAAATAGCCAAGTTTTATGCTGCCTAGATATTATTATCTTTAGAATATCTAAATTAAAATAGTATAGTATACAGAGATTCTCAAAGCCATAAAATAACTTATTTTAGAAAGGATACATCAAACTTATAGACTTTGGATTATCAACTATAAATGATGGACTGTAATTCTCACAATGCAGAACCATTGATTATTTAAAACCTGAGGTTTAGGAAATCAAGGACATACTAATAATATAATGTTTAGGGTTTTGGAATTGAACTTTATTAAAAGTAATAGGATTCAATGCAGATCAAATTCAAATTCGATATGAAAATAGTTCCATTTCAACTTAAGCTAAGGATTTGCTATCGCATTTACTTGATGTGAATACTAATACTAGATCTAATCTATAATAAGTTTTAATAGCATATCTTCTTTAATGAATTTTCAAAGTAGAAGATTGTACCTCAATCTTGTTTTTACAGCATTGTGTATGATAATTAATTACTCTCCTAGAGATTTAAGTTATAGATTTTGGAATAATAGCTGTAAACTCTCTAGAATCAGAATTTGCTGAATAAGTGAATTTATTTACATATAAATAAACAGAATTTATTTACATATAAATAAACATCTAAAATACATCATATTAAGCTTTAAATAAAGAAAATGTTATTAAATAAATATAGTTTCTTTGACTATAATCAAATTCTGTTCACTGTAAATTATGAAAGATATTGTTAGAGTAGCCTTAAAATAAAATTTAATACTCTAGTAAATATAAAAAGAAAATGGATAGAATACTTCCTTTAATAATTATTGGTTTTGTAAAAAACATTATTATAATAAGCAAATATTATTTACTACTTATATACATAATATACATAACACTCGTGGGGCACCATCAAAGTCACAGGTATTTTCAGTTAAGATGGTTTCCAATGATTTATTCTAGCATATTATTCCATTTTTACCTATTTTTTTTGTTATTATTATATACATGACATATTCATATTCTTGACGTATAAAATATATTTCTAATTTCGGAATTAAAAATTTCAATAAGGTGATCGCTGTTAGGCATCTGAGCCACAGCCTATTTATAATAATGTGCGAAATTCATTATACAAATTCATTATAGAAATTCATCTAATTCATGTATTAGAAGATTATAGAAATTAATGAAATTAAATGAAATTTAACAAAACCTTTATAGACTATATTAATCATAATGAATAACTGGCAATTAAGGAATAAAATAACAACAATTCATCCAGATAACCTAAATGATAAAATTAATTAATAAGAGTGGGGTTTTAATTTAGTTTTTCAATTATATGATGATGGAAAAGAATTCTAAATTTTATAACTAAAGGTGCCTCATTTTAGTTTAATCACTATGGAAATGTAAGAAACTAGTGAGAATTGATATTATAATAATTATTTAAATTAAAATTTTTCCAACTTATTATTTTGGGATTGAGTGAAACAAAAAAGTTTCCTGGTTTTTTATAATGAAAATAAGTCTGAAGTGTCAAGAGCTGATAGATTATAAATTAAAGTATGTACTTTCTTTTTGTCCTGCATGATAAATCATGAATTGCTTCAAATAATCAAAATATAATCAAATATCAATTTATTATATGTAAAGATATCAAAATTTTTAATCATTGTTATAATTCAAGTGCTACTCCTTGCAAAATGTTTTCTAATTATACTACTCTTCTTAATAATAATTGATGTTTTTCTTCCATAATTTATTTTGATTTAGCTAGTCTTTAGTATTCTTTAGATAATTTATATTATTCCTCAATAAATTACACATTATCCTCTTTCAATAGTTTATATTTTTAGTTTAGAGACTCTCTAAAATTTATTTATAATTGATTTAATTCAGATTCTTGTTTAGATATAATATTCGACATTTCCAAACGTATTCTATTCGACTAATCACGTAATTGTGCTATATTCTTTTTACTCTCTGTAATATAACTCTGAATTAATATTCTATTACATTAATATGTATGAATGGATGATCAAAACCCTCTAAGAAATGGATTTAAGAATTTTAATTCTGATGTTCATCTACATTAAATCCATATCTAAAGTTATGAATGGGTGTTTAAGTTTGTAAAGTGGTAAGTCTAAAATCACTTTAAGCAGTAGATCTCAATTAATTAAGTCTATGTTGCATAGTTTTAACTGTTCTAAGTGATTACTAAGTTGGATCTACACAATAAAGTTAAAATAGTACTGGGATTAACTTGTTTATAATAAAGCAGTTGTCTTATGTTGATTTCTGAACTCATTAATTTTTATAATGAAATTTATAATACTTCATTTTATTTTAGTTTTGATTCAAGTCTCCAATTAAACTTAATAATTCACTAGATTTAAGAATCAATGCAACTTTATACCTTATTAGAATAATATAATAGGTAAAATTTAGATTTAAGAAAGTCTAAATCTGGGGTTATTGGAATTAATAACAATGTATTTAATGTTAACCTTGGTGTACTTGTACAGAATACATGGGGTGTACTTAAATCAGTTGTCCTATTGGTCATGTGGCTTATTAGAAAACAAAAATATGTATCCCTTGTCCCAAAGGTTGTAAAGAATGCAAATTAGGTTATGAGATGAATATTAAAAGTTGCTAAGAATGCGAAGATGGATATTAATTAATAGGTAAATTTAATAAATCAGATTTAAGGTAAAATGTGTGTGGAATTGACAGTTTTTCAAATTAGAACATCATAATTGAAAGAAGTATATATGGTCTATAATAATCCATACAGTCAACCATTAAATAATAAATTTGCTATATGTTAAGAATTAGATTCTAGTACATCACTTTGTTCAAGATGTCCAGATAACTATTTTTTGAATGAATTTAATTAATGTGAACAATGTCCAACAGGATGTATATGTAGTCAAAGGGGAACTTGTTTGTATTGTATGGATGGATATTTTTATAGTCCAGTGGCTAATGAGAATACAGCTATATTGAATGCTGGTTAGCGATTGCAAAGTGGATTTTATCAATATGGTAGAATAATTAATATTTATAATATATATAGGAAGTGGTAGTTGTGTCAAATGCAAGGATTCAAATGCCACATAATGTACACCTTCATTTTCATCTTCATGTGCATAAGGATATTATATGAATAATGCTTAAACATAATGTGAACCTTGTAATGTTGAATGTATTGCTTGCAAAACTTCATCTGATAATTGTTCAAGTTGTTAAAGTGGATATTATTTATAAAATTCAAGTTGTATACTTTGTAATAGCAACACTTTATTAGAAATGAAATGTTTAAATTGTTATCAAAGTGGTTATTGTTTATAATGTGCAACAAATATGTATTTATCAAAAGGACAATGTTTTACTTGTAGTGAAGGTTGTGTTTAATGTACAAATACTACATGTACTATGTGTGATAATGGATATTATTTGAAATAAGGATCTTGTTAAATTTGTGCTTAAAATAGTTAATATTGTAATGATGAAACTGGAACACCTACTTAATGTATTTAAGGATATTTATTGGTACCTGATATAAATAATACTAATAATCTTATTTGTAGTTAAAATATTAATAATTGTATGATGATGATTAATAGTGATTAATTATGTTCTTAATGTTATCCTAATTATGTACTATTTTAAGGAACATGTGTATAATGTTAATAAAAGATATTAGGATGTACTGCTTGTGTTGATAATAATATTAATTTAGTTTGTTCTTCTTGCTCTTCCAATAATTAAAATGGTAATAATTATTATTTGGATGTTAATAATAATGGTTGTACTCTTTGTAATTAAGGATGTTTAACATGTTCAACAACTGGATGTAATTCTTGTCTAAATGGCTATTATTTATAAAATGGATAATGTGTTGAATGTCAATAATAAGCATGCAAAACTTGTACTTCTTAAACTTGTCAAGTATGTTAACCAGGATACTATTTAAAATCAATTGATAATTAAAATAATTGTATGCTTTGTCCTTATGGTTGTTCTAACTGTAGTCCTAATGGATAACAATGTTCAGAATGTTTACCTGGTTTTATTTTAAGAGTAAGAAATTCATCTTTATATTCTATAGAATAATGGTTGTACAATAGGAACTATCTTTTGTGCAGAATATAATGATTCTGGAATTTGTAAAACATGTATGTATGGATTTGCCTTAAGAAATAACATTTGTGTTTCATGTATCGATTTTACAAGTGGAGTATCAATATTAATTTAATATTAGTATGTATGTGGTGAAAATGCAGAACCCTGCAATAGTTTTATACTTATAGCCATCCTCTTAATATAATTTCTAAATTGAATTATTTATGAATATTTTTGTTAACTTTATTTTTTATTTTATTTTATTTCTCCTTCCTTACTTCCTATTAATATATATTATTAATTACCTTATATATTTATTATTCACTTTAATATTTTGACAGAGGTCTTAGAATGTTGAAGAATTTACTGATCATTTTCAGATGGTCTTAAATTTATATTCATTACGTTACTATCACTGATACAGATCATATTTGAATATTTTAAATTCCAATGATATTAAGTATGAGTTTAAATGTTTTTATAAATTTAATCAATATTATTTTTGAACTAATCAAATTTTTGTTTGTTTCTATACTTGAGTTCTTACTTTCATCTTTTTTAATTGAATTAATTTTACTTAATATTTAAATTATATCTGATCCAATTCAATAAATAAGAAGATAACATATATAATATTCATTACTTAATCTATAATATTTATATTTTATAGAATTGATTGTTGATTTTGATTATTTACAAAAAAAGCTTATTCAAATTTTGTTACATTATAATATTTCAAAGTTTCTTAATATGTGAAAAGCTTTTTGGATTTCTGATTCCTTTATATATTTATTATCTATATCTAATATGCCAATTATGCTATACAATTTTTGAATTAAAAATATAATTAATTGCGTATTTCTTTATAAAGATTTAACTATTTTAATAGAAATAAGTTACCTTATTATTCTAAAAGTTCTATTGAATTCATTTTAAAGTGGATCATCACATTATTGTAATAATGCTTTGAATACTCTTATGTTGAGTAATTTCTTCTTTTGAGTTGTTAAGTATTCTATAAATTAAGCTACTTTTAATTCTTCCTTAAGAATTTCTCTGCATAGAGGTTAATTTTTTTAAGCATAAGTGATTATTGCCTTACAGTAATTCTTAGGGATATTTTTAGAGTCTTTTTGTTCTAAAGTTGAAAATCCCTTTCTTTTTTAAACAGAGAGTTTTAGTTGAGGTATAGGCTTAGTTGTTTAGTAATATTATTATTAATATTCATATTTTTTTAAATCTTCTATCTGTTTTAATTATATTTAATGACCTCCTAGATGAACCTACAAAAAAATTAGTCTAAAAATATACCATTATCTCATTGAATGCGTATTAAAACACAAAAGGATATTTTGGTATTACTTAATTTTGATCTTGATATTAAGCTTCTTATAGTCTTATCAATGCAAACTAAAACTTTTCAATAGTTTTTGAATACTATTGTAACATAGTAGAATTATCTGATTTTTAAACTTTTATCTAACTTATTGAAGTATATTTACTATGCTATTACACTATGTAGTTGCTGGATTATACTTTTCTTCTTCTTTAACGTCTTAAAGTTTAAACATTCCAGAAATCTTATGTTATTAAGTATTTATTTATTATAGTATAAAAGAATAATGGAAAAGCAATATAATTAATCATCAACATGAATATTAACTATGATAATTTGATATTTTTATTTATCTAATCAATAATATCTTACTGAGGTGATAGAATTTTAAGAATCTTCTATAAAATGATCTTCAAATTTAGATTTATTCTGGATAATATGATAAATCATTTGAGAATATAAATTTTGAATGTTTTGAGTTTCTTTAGATAAAAGGAATCTAAATATTGTTTTATATGAATGAATGAGTTAATATAAGAATGAATAGAATTAAGATTAAGTTATATGTGAGTTTGATTGATTTTTGCATATTTAATAGAATATTTTAAATAATTCAAAAAAAAAAATTTGATAAAATATTCATTATGAATTAAATGATAAAATTATATTAATTTATGTTTATAATAATATTTTCACTCCTTAACATATCAATACAACTAAATTAATAATGTAATACTATTTTAAACAAGGATTGTTGTATTGATTAATGTGAATGGGAGAATGAGTAATGTTAAACAAAAAAAGCATAAAATTATTGCAATTCCAATAATTTTAATGAAGAATAATGTAGATAAAATCCAATATGTGCATTTTATAATGGTAAATGTGAACCTTTTTTTGGATGTTAAACATATTAAAATATAGGATCAAATTGTCCAAGAGTATCAATTAATTGTATTTCAATTACAGATGAACCTGTTTGTATATAGAAACCAATAAATTGTATATAAATATCTGAGAGTAAATATTGTGGTTAGATTGATCATTAATAAGGCAGTAAAGAGTCATGTGAATGGAAAGATGATAAATGTTAATTTACAGGATGTGAAAAGGTAAATGAATTTGGATAACTGTCTGAATTAAAATGTTAAAAATTTCATAATGTTTGTAAATTTGATGGAATAGAATGTAAAATAAAATTATAATATTGTTCTTCATATCTATATAATTGCAATTAAATTACAGCTATTACAGGTAAATGTTAATTAAATTCTATTAAATAAAGTTGTATGAATGCATCATGTTATAATTATTTTGAAGATAGCTATGAGAAATGTTAAAAACATTTTGGTTAATATGGATCATAATGTATTTATAATAAGGATTATTTTGGGGGGATATGTCTAGAAATAGATTATAAGACATAAGTAGGTAAATGTATGGTGGAGATGTAAGATAAATCTTGTAATTAATATTTATTGATATCTAAATGTTTTGGAATAAACTCATAGAAATATGATTAAAAAATAAGTTTTTGTTAAGAAGGTAATATAGATTTAGAAAGAAGAGAATGTAATACTAGTTTAAATGAATAAGAATGTAATACAATAGAAACAATAGAATTGAAAAAATGTTAATGGATTAAGAATACTTGTTAAACAATTAATTAATGTTCTGATTATGAATTAAATTTTGATTCTACAGAGAAAACTTGTGATGAATTGAATTTAGGTTGTAAATAAATTCCTTGTTAAAATAATATTTATGGATGTTGTGTTTAAATATAAGAATGTAATGGTTATTAGACAAAATAAGAATGTACAAATAATTCTGATAATTTTATTATTGATTTATAATATATATGTATTTGGGAGAATAACTCTTGTAGATATGGTAAATGTGAAGATTTTAATAATGACATTTATTAATGTAATAATTTAGAAGAATGTAGATATATTGGTAAATAATGTTAAAATAAGAAATTTATCTCTTGTGAAGGATTAGAAATATAAGATTGCATTAGATTAAATTGCTTCTATATAATGGGAAAATGTTATAGTGCAAATGAGATTTATAAAGATATCTATAGTTTAAGCAAAACATTAGAGTAAGATGAAAATACTGTTTGTTAATATTTTTCTGATAAACTAATGTATAGTTCTGATACTAGAAATTGTGTTTTAAAAAGTTAATGCAAAAATTATAGTTACAATTGTTAAAGTATGAAATAATATGATAATGTTTAATGTGTAAATATAAATTCAGAATGTCGACCTATGACATCTTGTACTTAACTATCATATTCAGAAGTAGAAAAATGTTATAAAGCTTCTAGTGTATGTAATACAAATGGTAAAACATGTGAGATTGCTGAAAAACTGTGTACATCATATAAAGATTAAAATTCTTGTAATTTTTAATTAGATCTAAGTATTTGTTAATGGGATACTAATGGATGTCATTTAAAAAAATGTGAAGAAATAGAAGATATAAATTAGTGTGATTCCAAAAATTTATGTATGAATCCTTAAGTTTGTAGATAAAATATGTGTGTCTAATCAAATAATTATTGCATTACTATAAAATCAAGATGTAGTTTATACTTATCACAAATTAGTTGTTATAAATCAATTAATTCTTTTTGTTTTTGGAATGGATAATATTGTATGGATTTAATGAATTGTTAAATACTTTCAATTACTTAATGTTAAAATGAAAAATATAATCATACATGTATTTTTGATTATGATTTCAATGAATGTAAGAATCGTAAACACTCAACTTCTTCATCACTTAATTAAACATGTTTATAAAATAATTATAATTATAATTATTACTGTAATACTTAAGAAAATAGAGATAAAATAATATCATCATTCAAAAATACTTGAATAATTTTAATTTATATTTGAATAATAAAATTAATAATGTACCTTAAATCAAGAATTAATTATAAAATTTTAGCTATCTATTTCAAAATCTCATTATAAATATTGTAATATATATTAATTATGATGATGATTTTACTCTTCATTCTTTATTTGAATGCTTAATCCATAGATTTTTGTTCTCTAGGATGCTAATTCTTTAATGATTCCACTAAATGTGAATCACTTAAACCTTTATGTTCTTGGAATTTTAATAATCGTACTTGTATAAAAGGATATATGGAACCATAAATAGATATCTATTAATCATAAATCACTTAATTTTGTTCATATAATAAAGATAAATGTTCAAAAACATATGGCTGTTCATTTTATAATAATATGTGTATAAAGTTTTTAGGATGTGATGCTTATTAATCTTATTCAGATTAAGATTGTTTGAATATATCTTATCTTTGTAGTTGGGATGAAGAAAAGCAAAGATGTGTACGTAGTCCCTATTATGATTATAGGGGTAATATAAAATAATAGAGAGATTGTAATTTAGCTGATTTAGGTTGGAGAAGTCAAGATGGATGTCCTAAATATTCAAGTTAATGCATTTTTAATCAAATTGAATGTGTAGAATCTTTAGGAAGTTGTAATTAATATTAGACAACACCAGAAAATTGCAGAAAATTAATTGGAGTAGATGGATAATGTGATTATTATGAAAATAATTGTAGGGCTTAAAGATGTGAAGGTTATGATAAAACTTAATGTAATTAATATAGATTAGATTGTTATTTTGATAATATATGTCAATAGAAATAGAAATGTGAACGTAGTAATGTTAAAATAAAATCATAATGTTAAAATACAATAGAATAAAATTGTTATTTTGATGGAAGAACATGTTCACTTATTCCATTATAATTATGTTCAGTATATTAAAAATCATAATGTTAAGGTACAGTTGGAATAGATGGGATTTGCATATTATAAAATGATAAATGTATTAAATTAAATTGTGAAAATGATTTAAAATAATAATATAAAAATATGGAGTTATTTTAAGATTATTGTTAAGAATTAAAGTATTGTGAATAAAAGAATATAAATTGTATTTAAATAGCATAAGATGAATGTTTAAATATTAATAAAACAATTTAAAATTGTAATTGTTAAAAATGTATAATTAATAAATAGGAATGCATATATGCTAGTACTTAATTAGAATGTGAATAGAATTAATAATTATATTCTACTATACCATGTTATTGGAATTAAGATTAAAATTATTGTTAATCTGCAACTAAATGTTCATAATTATAAAATAAATCTTCTTGTTAGAAATTGAAACCATCTTGTGTATTTCGTAATAATACTTGTGTGGATATATTAGAATTAAACTGTAATTAAATATATAGTATTGAAAATGGAGATTAAATAATGTAGAATTATTGTATATTATCTCGTGGTTGTGCCATTTTTAATAGTAAATGTATAACTTTAAATCTAAATTGTGATAATTATAAAAGTGAAACAACTTGTTTCAAAGATATAACAAATTAACCATGTGTTTGGAATTCAGAAATAAGAAAATGTATAAATTACAAAGAAAGAGAATAAATTATAAATATAAATGAATGTGAATTAATAAGTAGTTTTTGGACATATAAAAATGGAATTTGTGATATCAGAAAAAGTTGTTCTTAATTAAATTAAACAGAAATAGGTTTAGAAGGAAATTGTACACTATATTACTTAAAATAAATTGAATCTAAAGCTACTACTTGTTCTGATATTGATATATCAATATGTTCAAATTTTAGTCATATTTGTAAAAAATATAATAATACTTGTTAAAATCTTAGTTGTTCTGATTTGAATTCAACTTAATGTAAACCTATAATAGGATTACAATTAAAAGATTATAAATATTGTAGATTATTTGGAGATGATTGTATTGAAACTTTACCTACAAATGAGAGAGATTGTTATTTATTTGGTGCAGGATCTAAATTCTTTAATGAAAATTATTGTGTATCTTGTATAAGACATGGTGAATGTAAATCATTACCATATGTAAATAAAGAACCATCAACTGAAAGTTTTTAATTAAAATTATCAATAATAATGATTATTTTTTATATTTTTATAATATAATGAATGAAGATTATTATTTTTTAAAACCTCTTATCCTATTTTTGTTACATTATTAATAACTAATTATATTATATCATAGTAGTATAGAAAATCTAAATTTAATATTATATTGTTATGCAAAGTATTTATAATCTCAATAAACTTAAATTATTAAAGATAAGATATGTATATAAGTTTTGGAATGATTAACTTACTGAATACTATTGATAATCATCATATTCTAAAAATATTAAAGATATCTATAATTTAGTTATGAATTAAAGAAATTATTTGATTATATTTAAATAATTTATACATACTCATTCAAATAATAATTTTGGTAATTCATTAAATCTAAGATATAAATTTAAAATTAATGGTAATCCTTATATGATTCCCCACCAAAAAAATAGATTACCAAATTTAGTTCCTTTTATTCTCTTTGTACATAACATCACTGGAATTTAGATCATCATAAACATTACCATTATTGGAGTAATCTATTTTAAACTTACTGCTAATGTATATTCATGTAACATAGCTGAAAATAAAAATGTAGCTAATTATGCTTTCCTTACTCCAAAACCAAATTCAAATATTAGTTCCAAATATACATGACGATATAAAAATTCATAAACTGGTCTATTCCAATTTCTATTAAATTCTTCATAATCTGTTGAATTCCACCAATCTGTATAAAATTAACGATCTCCAAAATGAGTAAGTTCAGCCCAAAAATTACAATAATTCTCAAATATCATGTTAAATAATGTTAAACATAAAAATATTAAAGGTAGAGTCATTTAAAATATTGAATCAACTAATGTTAAAGCATTTACATTCAAAATTATAGGATATATATGATTTGAAACTATCATATATCCCATAATTAACATTGATATTGTATTTATAAATTTAACAATTACATACCACCATCTAATCTTACCAGATTATGGATATTGTGGTTCATAAACCAATACAGGAGTCATAATAAATTTAGTAAAATTCCTAAAATTAATGTTATTTGGATAACTGAAAGGATCATTACTTTTTGGACAACCTTAATCTATCCATTCTCTTCTCATTTTATAATTTGTCATTGTATAAGAATGCATTTTAAAGAAGAATACACATGATTAAAATGTAACAAAAGCACCTTAAGGTAAGTACCAATCTCTAGTTAAGACCAAATAATGTGCATATACAAACATACATATTTGACTAATATGTTGAATTAAAAAGATTAATAACTTTGGTATATTCATCATTGCTAAATATTGTATCAACAAGGCTATATGACTCCATGCATAGAACTATTCATAATGATAAATCAATTACTAATGGCCATGTTACAATACACATAAAGAGATCTCTACGCATTTAATTATACAATGATGTTTCAATCCATTAACCAGTCTTCCAATATGTCATAATTGGATTTATTATAAAGTAATAGAAGGCCACAACATATAACATATTATAAAAGCCAACTAATTTATTCTTATTTAAATCTGAATCCTTATCCATATCATCTAAAAATGAAATCCTATTGACAAATGCATGCTTTCGTAAGTGTTTTATTTTAGCCTGTTTTTAAACACTCTTCTCATCAGGTGTTGAATATCCTGAACTGACAGAATCTTACTCAGGTGTATCAATTTTGCGATGTTTCATATCTATTTTAATAATATTATATATATGTATATTCAAAAATCAATATAAAATAAAAACTAATAATTAATTTTTTATTCATTCAGATGTTTTTATTATTATTATTATGGTATTTAGAATAAATTATTATAAATATTTCATGATATCTTTTTAAAATCTGAATCAAAAAATGTTCCAGGTAATACAGCTTTAATATGTCTACCTGTTGTGACTAATTTCATTCCTGATTCTTCATATATATCACAAATTGAATATGCAACATTCTTACCTACTTTTTAACAAACTGCATGTACAATAAGAGAATCATTCAATTTTGCAGGACTTATAAATGATAATCCCAATTCAATACTAAATTTTATATAATATATACCTGACTGTTCTAGATAGATTTCTATCTCCTCTTAGAATAGCTATAGTTGTAGCACAATCTAAAATTGTAGCTAAAGCACCACCATGAACAGATCCATTCATATTCATAATCTCTTAAGGAACCTTGTATCTCAAAATCAGATGATTAGAATTTCTTTCTAAAGCATGTCCTGGTAAAAATTAAAATGCTGAATAGAAATGCTCTGCATATGTATTTTTAAGAATAGGAATTTATATGAATCTTTTAAAGATATCCCCGAATTCTTTATGTACCATTGTATTTATATAAATTTTATTATATTTATACTTCTATATTATAAAAATACTTATATTTATAATTCTCTTAGATTTCTATATCAAAGATCAGGATATAAAAGTAGTACTAAGATTAAATTAAAATAAATACTGATATGCTCTACTCAATTCATTATAATAAATATTGCTAATATAAGTGATCAATATAAAAATGATTTTGATCAAATATAAAAACTAATTATATCTATTAAATCTTAGTTATCTTATTATTGTATTCAATTAAAAATGCTCAAAGCATTAAATAACTTATTATTATTCTAAGAGTTAATTCCTCACTAAATATTTATTAAGAAATTATGAATATTAATAATCTGTCCGTTTCATTCACTATGGATTCATTTCCTGATTAAGATATAAGCAACTTATGCAAAATTAATTTTTTATCTATTTTTATGATGAATTACATTTCCAGAAATCTGAAAAACTTTACAGAAAAAAAATCACATTTGATCGATTTATTATCCTAAATTATTATTATTGTATTAATCAATTTTATTAATGAGGCTTATTATCTATAAATTTCTAAGATTATTTTCACAAAAAAAATTTCAAATATATAAAATTAAATTGTTTAAAGATGCAGTATTCAAATTATGTAGAAAGAGATACTAATTTTATTCTTTAAGAATAATGTTTAACAAGATATTATGTTTTCATTTTCAATATAATGTATCCCGAATAATTAAAAAGAATTTATTACTTAAGTTAGATATTATTGGCCATCATAAAATGTTTAGTAGATATATTTTATTTGGTTTTTGAAATTATATCCACTTTACACAAGATATTTTATATGTAAAGTTATTATACAATAATAATAAAGTTACTATTTATTTGTTTTTCAATAGTAATATTAATCTTATATTTTTAATTTATCAATTATCTACACAAATATTATATTTATAAAAGGGCTATAATTTTCAACGTTTTTTTCTTTAATTCTCTATTTGATAATTGTTAAATGAATGTATTTTTAATTAATTCTACATGCATTCTAAATTTAAAATTTTCGGTTCTAAGAAATCTTCTTTTTAAATTGAAATTTTTTATATTCTTATACTGAATAACTTCAATTGAAACTTTGAATTTATATAATAATTTATCAAAGCTAGATCTATTCAATAGGTTTATTTTATCATTTCTAAGATTAATATTAATAGATTTTTCAATGTATATTTTTTTCAAGATTTAGAGACTATTGAGATGGAAAATTTTAATAAGCTAAAAGAATAAAATTTACAAATTCATACTGAATTTTAAATCAGGTTATTGGAGAACTTAATAGAATTTTATTAAATAAATAAATTTATAAATGATATTTTTCTTTTTAACTCTTTTGTCATGTGGAAGCAGCATTATAGTTGATGCTAATTAAAGATGTGCATGTTCTGAGATTTTACTGCAAGAAGATTGTAATACAATAATGAATTGTAAATGGGTTAATCAGAAGTGTTAAGATTATATTTATGAATGTTAAGTAGAAGGTTAAGCTGATATTCGTTCTTATATATGCAATTGGAATAATGATTTAAATAGATATGAAGCTTAAAAGTTTGAATGTAGTTAATTCAAAAATTTGTATGATTGTTCTAGACTTAAACCACATTGTTTTTGGAATTCTACTGAAATGTGTAATGATTTTACAAGTTGTCAAGATTACAATGAATAATATTGTCCAATTTATAATAAGAATTGTTCAATTTAGGATAAAATTTGTATTGATGGTATACAATAATGTGAAAATTACAAAAGTGAATAAACCTGTAGAGGAATTTAATCTGGAGAACAGGAATGTTTATGGAGTAATGATAATTAATGCAAAGGATAGAGTTTAATTGATTGTACATCACTAACAGGATTCAAAGTATGTGATGTAAATCTTATTGAATGTAAAAAAAATGCTTCAGGAAATTGTGAGTCTTTAACTTGTAGTGATAAAAAGTAAGAGAATGATTGTACAAATGCAAGAATAGTAAAACATGGAGAATAAATTTTTTATTTATGTGTTTGGTAGAATGGTCAATGTTATGAAGCTATTAATGCTAAACATTTGAATAGAGAAACTTGCTCTAAATAGACTGCTGCAAATTATAAATGGGTAAATAATAATTGTTAAGCTTGTTAAACACTTCAACCTAAAATTTTAGATAGACAACTAGATGGTTATGTAGAGTATGAAACTTAGATTGTCATCATGTACCTTTCTACATTTATATTGAGTAATATTGCATTTTTTATCCTATGCATAGAATGAAAGCTCTAAAAATTTAATCATTTAATTCATGAATCAATCTTCATTTTAATCAATTGTTATATTATCTTTTAAAATTTTAAGTGGCTTTCCTTGTCTTTTTATATTATAATCAAATTTCTTGCTTATTTAGAATCCATAGATTCTAGATCTAATTCTATTTCCATTTATGATTTAATGTTTATAGCTAAATCATTTGACTAAGACACACACAATAGAATTAATGAGCATTATCTCATTGAATCTTCACTCATTAACCACTTTAATAATTTTCTATGATCATTCAAAATCTTTTAATCCTAAGTGTGTTGAAAAACATATAAAACACCCTCAAATTCTATATTTAATATTATAGATTCGACTGTATTCTATAGTATTTCAGAATATTTTGGACACCATAAAAGTTGATTAGGTTTCT